CAAGTGGAACGGGAGGCCATGAACTAGAATCCAGTCGTCAAACTTTAATCTAGAGGGGACGGAGTTAAACGTCGACCACCATCGATCAATCTTCACCCACCTGCCATAAACGAGAATATTTTCCAACCTCACCCAAGTGGAAACCAAATCTTCAGAAGAAGCAAAACCCACTGCTCTGTTACTAGAGAAGGGAAGGAGATGCAGGAGTTATGGGAATGAAGGTTAGTTGTAATTCCTAGCTCAACCTCATTCCAAGTTAGGTCATCTGTTTTGGAGCATACAAAGGCATTTTTCCATTTGTCGAAGGGTCTCGGTTGATTGGCTATGGATATGTGGGCTGAACTGCCGGCCTTAACGACTCTGCTCGTTGACGCTAAGGATGGAAAGTCTCCTTTTACGGGAACTTCAGAGGTTTGGAGACCAGGATGCTGGAGAAATAGGTTTATCACTTCAACGAACGATTTCCACCCTGATTTTCTTGCTTCTTCAAGGATACAAATGGTTTTGTGTTTCTGAGCGAGCTCCCAGCAGCTTAAACGGATGAACCTACCCCATTTGTTTTCATTTAGTTGAAGAAGCACCTTCCCTCTGCACGCATGCTTACGATCTTTTACCATAGATTTTTGATCTTTGATCGCCTCTCGAAGGAAATCTTCGAACTATTTCGTCTCTTCTACTGGCAAAGAGATTTTCGACCAAGCCCCTCTACCTCTCTCGGTCAAAACCAGACTACCATCAAGTTTATGGATTGTTGATTCGAATTCGAAAGCTTTAGAACCTATTGCTATTAAACGACGCATGGTTCGGCACCGGTGTTAACAGTCGTCGGGTTTGGCTCTGCTGTTAACAGTCGCCGGTGTTAACAGTCGCCGGTGGTGACAATAAGTCTTCAAGGACTATACCCACACCATAATTTATATATAACAGATCCATGTCTATATATAAACTTTATAAATTTTCTGAGATTAGTTTTCCTTAGAGAGATTAAATTATCATAGCTATCAACTTTTATACTGTTAAGTAAAAAAAGAAAAAAAATAAAAGAAATCCAAGTCCTTTAATAACAAATAATTCAGGAGCTCCAAGGAGTAGATGATTTAACCTAAAAAAATTTTGTTGTTTAAAAAAAAAAAACAAAATTTAAAATTCCTCTTTTGTTGTTAACTCCTCTTGTTGAAAGTAACTTATTAGATTTTCAAAAAAAATCCAACATTACTATCATTATATTTTGTAATAAAATAAAATTTATTAAAAGAGAAAAGAAAATACAAGAAAGGCAATTTGAAGTCGCCTGAAAGAAGACAAAAAACTTTCACCCACCACAAAACAAAACCCAAACCCTCAACCCAATTATGCCACAAGTCCACAACCAAAATTGAGAACAACATCCAGAACCAAACCGCTATCCAGACAAACACAATACAAAAATTAAAAATCTGCCCATCCATTCCCACCAAACAAACTGTCTACCTAAAATTACAAGATTTCAAATACCCAGACTAAACCAGAACGGCATAACCCAACAACAAAAACACTAAAATCCTCAATCTCAATTACTTAGTTGCTCCAGTGATTTGAACTTCTACATATTTGCTCCTCTTGCAAGGCTTCTTAACTTGCTTCACCTTCTTACTAGGCCCAACACCAAATAAGCCTCCTTTCAATCTAGCAAAAACTTTTGAAACCTGAACATTTCAAAGGTTTTTTACTACTAAATTGTCTTACTGCATTAGGAATCTTCTCATTAACCAGTGTGTCCTTAGAGCAAGTCGTGATCCTTTCTAGCTCTAAGACCGCATTTTTCTCAAAAGCCTGTTCTGCAACTGCCACACCTTCCTCTTCAACCATATCCCCGCCATGCTGAGAACTATTTAAGGGCCCATAAATTAATAATAGTTGGCAGTGAGCAGAGTGGAATGGTGGAAAAGGATTCATGTAGCCAACCCTACATAATTGAGATAGGCTTCGTGAGTTAAGTTGCTCCTTACAGATGCATAGGGTCACAGTAACAGATAAACTTAACCTTAAAAAAACCTTATGACAGTTACATGGAGTCAGTTACATGAATCCTGTTTCGCCATTGTACTCTATCAAGGGTCATAATGATAGATAATGATGACAGTGAGGATAATAATGAGGAAGATGGTGACAACAAAGAATCTGATGAAGAAGATGTTTTAGTTGATGAAACTCATGTTATTGAAGGATCTATTGACTCAGAAACTTTGTTGAATACAGTGGTGGAATCCAGCAAATCTCTGGGTCTGTTCATTTTAGGAGGGAAGAAATTTACTAAGAGAACTTTTAAAAAATTGGAAGAGAAATGTGGGATGCCCATGAATAAGAATTTGGAAAAAAAGTCTGCCAGAGGAAAAATAAATTGGAAAATGAGGCGGATGGTTCTAAATTCAGAGTTGAGGAGGCTCAAGATATTTCAACCTGCAACTCATCACCTGTTTGGTCAAATGGCCTTTTCTGCATGTTACAAAACCATCTTAATCTACTTTTCCTCATTATACCATCTATTGGAGCTACTTCTAAGTTCCTCAAAATAAGTTCATTTCAAATCCTGCCCTTGCTAGTTCTCCCACTCATCCATCTCAACGTTCACATTTCTTCATATAAGCACAAAAAAGAACTATACAAAAGTCATAAAAAAATGTTCATAAAGAAAAAGGTTAAGAATGGTTTAGCAAGCCAGAGAAACATTTAAAATAATATCATCATTAAATATTGGTGCATAAGGATCCAATTTTTGCATTTTCACATTGTATCTTCATATTAAACATTACAAAACTTTATTGGCTTAAACATATTTCACAATTATTTTCTTTAAAAATAAGAGAATAAATCAGCTTTTTCATCAATAACTGAAAAGGTTTACTAATGAAAAGAAACAAGACTGCCTTTTTTAGATAAAAAGAATGGTTCTAAAACCGAATATCAACCATCAAGCTGAGAAATAATTCAGGAAGAGTTTCTTAATATATCATGCAAAAGAACAAATAATCCTGAACATGCAAAATAGAAAAATCTGAGCAGCTAATTGTGGCTGGCTCTCTTGTTGTACTGAGTTATTTGCTGATTCAATAAAATTATTACTTTACCTTTCAAAGAAAATAGAAAAATTTTGAAATATAATGATAATTAATTTCTTAAATTGTCTACAGAGTTTGATATGGAATTTCCTCTTAGTTTTTCTCTTTAACCTTTTTCCACTCCTGCAGCCTTTCCCCATTCTACCACTGACCTTGTTCCTAACTTTTCCCTGATTTCACTTTCTCCCCCCTAGTTTTTCCTCATAATTTCCAAAAGAATCTTTGTTCTTTATCATTTTGTATGCAACCCTTCTCCAGGAACCCCATAGCAACAGTATACATTTTACCAAAATATAGATGATCCTTTGTTAGGCAAATTTCTAAAAATCCAATTTGCCTCCTATATTAATTCAAATTATTTGAAAAGAAATCCTTCCTTGATGAATCCAGCCATCAAATTATCTCCTGGTGTCCTAGTAGTGCATTTGCTCTATATATGCATCTGATTTCTTTGACCATTGCAGCTCTCCTGCATTTGAAATTTAAAGCAGTATCTTAAATACACTGAGAAAACATTCAAAGTTTGTTGATTTTTTTTCTTTTTTTTTCAACGCTAAAATCTGTTTGCTTGCATCTGGTTCCTTGAATTACACCATTATGTTTCAAACGGATGAACCACTAAGGTGTTATAGATGGGAAAGAAAAAAGAGACCATAAAGTGCATTAGGACCATTCTTACTTTTGGGAACTGAGAGATCTAATAAGACCAAAAAATACTTGGCACCCAAATAGCAATTGATAAAAATTCCCTATAAATACTGGGTAAATTAGTCAGGCAGATGTTCTACTCAGATCATTAGACTCAAAGGGGCCTAATGCACTAATTGGTTAGAATAAAGATCTGCAATATTTTGCACAAGACAAAAAGTACATATCCTTGTAGTATTGTAGTGACTGTTTGTGAGATAGTATGGTAAAATGCTAATAAGCAAGTAGTCCACACTCTCATAAACATTATGATCATCAAATACAATCCATAAATCATATAAGATAGCGGTAACTCATTAACATTACAAGTTCAACCTAGAAAAGAAAGCAGAAATAGGAAAAAAAACAATTTTTATGCTCAAGTATCCTTATGATAGGTAAAAGAAATATCATGGAAGAGTTCTTTTGTGGTTGCAACAATAAGAAATATAAAGAAAATGTTGTACTACCCAAATTTTTGGGTATTATTGACAGGCCTAAATTGCTGGGTTCTCGTATCAACCTCTACCAGTACTTGCAGTATAATCTTTGGTCATATGCACTGTGCCTTGTTAAAACAAATCAACTCAGCTAACATAACATAGCAATATTAACTGATATTATTCATAGAATGCAAGATAACCAAACATATGAGAGAAATAATGGAGATGCAGTAAAAGGTGGACAGACAGAAGGATGGAAGTCATGAAGCTGAAAGAACAAAAATAAATAAATATATAATTCCAGACTTTCCAAAAACTACAAGGAAAATAACAAAATAGGTTGCTATTTTTTCAGGCCATAATGCAACTACATATGAGCCATCTCCAAAGCAGAAAACAACAGAAGGAAACCAAAATAAGGATTGTTACCATTAAAGTGATTCAGTTCTTAAACAACCATACAAAGGAAATTGAAACCCGTGATTTTAACCACAACGAAATAATCCAATAACAGAAATTTTGCTTAGTTCTTGCTTATTTTTGTTTTTCCTATATCTTCTTGGTTAGGTCTTGATTTTTACAAAGGATCTAAGCACTTATTGGCTCTTGAATGCATTTACACGGTATGATACTGGATTTCATTAGATATACAGAGAGGCAGCCACAAATCATGAACCTGTATGAAAGGTTCTTTTTCGCAAATTTAAACAAACTCCCACCGAGACCACCAAGACCAAACAAACTACAAGACTTCAAACAAATCAAATCATACCTTTGTGTTGCAAGTATGAGAGTCTGCACTTGAAAATGGTGCCTTTGTAATCCGGTCTGCTGCAGCGGAAAAACAGGGGAGGGTGGTAAAAATGTGTGTGTGAGAGAGAGAGAGAGAAATCGGCGGTGACTTAACTCGCCGCAGTTTCAGTTCGGTTCGGTTCTTCACTTCAGCCGTTCAGCGGCCCAAGTAGGGACTGACGAGACGAGGTAGAGAGGGTTGAAAAGTAGGAATCAGGCAAAGAGAAGGGTTTGAAGGAGGGAGTTTTGTGTCATTTTCGTTTTTTTCTTGTTGTGACCAGCGGGAATATGGGATTTCGATTCGTTGGGGTGGGTCGGGAATGGTGGGGATTGCCATTCCGCGTTCCGCCCGGAATAGGAATCCGATTCCGCCAATCAAACGGCTGTTCATTCCGATTTCGATCTAGGACCCTTATTCCTTCGAACCAAACAGACCTTAGGGGTGTCAATTGGACTGGATTTTGGTCCAATCCGATCCAGTCCAATGTGAATCCATTATAAATGGACCAAGTCCAATCTAATCCAATGAATGTCTTTGATCAATTTAGACTGGTCCAATTCAATATATGGACTGTCCAATCAGTGCAATTTCATTTTTGATTTACATTGGTTTCAGCCCAAACCTGGTCCATTGACACATATATTCTTATCTTATATCAATGGACCAAATATTAGCTTAATCCAACCCAATTCAATATAAATTTGTTACGGGCAGACTAGGTCCAATTCAATCTAATAACTATTTTAGACCGGATTGGTCCAATCCAATATGTCTTATTGGCCCGTCCAATCTATCCAATTTTATTTTAGACCGGATAGCATCCAATCCAAAACCGGTCCATTGACACCCTTAAACCATAAAATAGCGTTAACTTCAATAAAAACCCTAAGGCTGAGTTTAGAAGGAATACAAATGCAAATATGTAGAATGCAAAACCTTATATATTGTATGTATATACACTTTACATATTTGCATTTATACTCCTTCCAAACTCAGCCTAAACTATAAGGGAGTGCCACTTTACTACCTAAACTATCAAAAGTTTCGGATGCCCTATCAGCCTTTACAAGTTAAACGTTGTTAACAGCAAAGGTGAAATGACCATATTAACCTATTAGCATGTTTCAAAGTATCGATACAATACGCCCAATACGGGGTGTATTGGATCGTATCTTTTGATCCAAAAAGCTTGTTTCCAGGTGTTTTGGACACCCATTTTTTAATAATAAAAAACATGCTAAAAGCTCTCCAAAAAACCAAAATTTGAAAAAAAAAAACTAAAAGAAAATAAAGTTCCGGCCGTTTCTAAGTATCGATTTTGAACCTTGCCTATTAGTTTAAAATATGTGGCGAGGCTGCGTTTCGCAGGGCTTCAAATAAGCCCTTCTAGCATTTATTGTATTTTAGAAGCCAAAACCCATAAAGCACAACACCCCCAAAAACGCTTGGTAAAAAAGCAATAAACGGGTTTTTTTTTATAGAAAAGCCCGTTAGAAACGACAATCTTTAGGCAGCTTTTTGCTTCTTGCATTTTTAACAAGTGCTTAACATGATTTTTCTTCTGTTTTTTGCCCATTTAAACTAAAAAATATAAAAACTATCCCATTTAAACTAATTTCACTTTGGTCCCAACGCGTCAATCAAATACCTAAACTTCTAAAACATGCAAATTTAGTACAAACCTCTTAATCACCATTAAGTGGCATGTGAAAGGCGCAAATGCCTTTCGGGTGTCATCTAATTCTCTTTACCAACCACCCTAATTTGTTTTGGTTCAACCTTGATTCTTGAGGAAGACGAAGATAACAGTGTCGAAGGGTAATTTTTGATATTTTTAAAAGTTTTAAGTCACATATATCATCAAGTGATAGAAATAACTGATGGACCACTAACGACAGGGACTAAACTGACATGTTTTGAAAATTTAGGTATTGGATTGGCATGTTTTGAAGTTCGGGGACCCAAATGAGACTAAACCCAAAGGCCCCATCTTTGTCCCATTCTTCCCTTCTATTATCAACCCTTCAACCTACAGTGGCAACAAATTAGAACCAGGTATGATATTCCACTATTTTTTTCTTCTTTTTTGTTATATTTCTTGAATCAAAGGTGATTCTGACCATTCCATCTCACATGTTTTTCATTTTTCTTATTCTCAATCGTTGTATTATTGAATCAAAAGCATCTTGTACTAGACTCTTGTGAATACCATGTATTAATCCCTTTTTTTGGTAATCTCCACGTATTAGACCATTGTTTCTTTTTTTTTATTTAAGAAATATGGATGTTATATTGTGGAGGGTAAGATTGTCTTTTATCTCAGCAAATGTTCATTTTGAACCAAGCAACATTCTCAAATAGGTGCTTTTTTCATTAAAAAGGCAGACTAAAAAACACCTTACCAAGCGGTTTTAAAGTATTTTTTTCTATAATTGCTTTTGGCTCAGTTTGGAAGGAGTACAAAAACAAATTTGTAGAGTGCAAAACTTTGTATTTTGTATTATTTTGTATGTATTTGCACTGACATATTTGTATTTATACTCTTTCCAAAAGGAGCTTTTAAAGCAGCTTGTTCGGAGACAAGAAGCCCTACTAAACACAGCATAAGAGAAAATAACTATTGGAAAAAAAAAAGACAAAAAAAACACTTCTCATCATGAATCCAGATCTTCCCTTCATAGGGCGCTCCGCACATCAAGAATATCTCCCATTTATATGTTGTCAATATTCAAAATATACAGCTGTAACGTGACCAAAAGTACACTATGCAATCCGCCACCATCAAATCAAATAAAATACTTCTGATCGCATTACAAGTAGACCTGTTTATGGCTCGGCTTTGCCTCTATAACAACAAAATACATTCAAGCTTGAACCCGAATCCACCTTAACCAACAGACCTAGATCTTGACTTCTTGAGCCCAACCTTAACCAACAGACCTAGATCTTGAGCCCAAGATCCACCCTCACATAAAGCCCAAAGCCTAGCCAAGAAACTAAAAATAAAAATTTGTACTCAAAACCCCTAAATATTGAAAAATCTCACTATCACTTTAGTTATATAAAATATTATCGGGTCAGGTTTGGGCTCGAGTCAGGGAATCCAACCTGTCTAACCAACCAACTCGTCAATGACCCGTTCAGAGAAAGTTAAATGGGTTGCCTTCAACCCAAATCTGTCTTTACCCAACCCAACCCATTAATTTTTAAAAATTAAAACATAAAAAATGACAGAAAACAATAAAAGAAATTGCATAACAATACAGATCATAGAAAACAACAAACGCAAAAAATAAATAAATAAATAAAACTAACAAAAATTACTATAAAATAAAACAACAAATCCCAGCTGAACATCAAAAGCATTAATTATAGGAGATTAAAAAAAGAAAATACAAACGTTTTCTGATGCAGAAGAACGGTTCCATTTGACTTTTATCATTTTCACAAAGATGCTTAGATGCAGGATAAAATGAGGGATTGAGGATACCCTCATGATAACCACAACAAGATGCCCTCCCTTCAATCACCATGTGTCCCATGTCTAATAAGATGAAATAAATTTTAGCCATCTGATCTGTGAATTATATTTGGAATTCTAACCATTACATGGATATCAAACTTGCCAATCAAATAAGGCTTTAAAAAGAACGGATTGGCCAATCAGGATTTATGTAGCCGAAAACATATATTTGCCATAAGAGCATGGATGATGATGATGATAAAGAAATAATTATAATTATTAATTAGAATTTAAGTATAAAATGCATAAAATGAGCCTACGATGGTTGGAGTCTTGTACGAATATATATAATAACATAAAAATATACCGGCAAGTGTCTCGGTACAGATAATTCCTTGAAACAGTAGATTTTTTTCCGCTACTCATTGTCATTCTGCACCTTCCGAAAGTACAGACGTTTAATGAAATGGTAACATGAATTCCCAACTCTTGACCACGGTAAGGTACCTGACAATGAAAAAAAAAAGCAATTCTTCATATCATTCGTCATGGTGTAGTTATCTCGAAATAGTATAGTTCCCAGGAAAGAAGAAGCCCTTTTCAAGTTCTTCATCCCTGAAATAACGACTTTCAGGAAGGAATACTTTATAAGCCCCCATCATAATATATTTTCCAGTAAAGATCAACTACTTTATAAATACTCCCTCATTCCTTGGTGCAGATCGCAAAGGACAGGACCTCTATTTGTATACCCCACTCCACCAAAAGCCAAAACCAGCATAGCAACGGCCAAAACCATAAAAAATCACAACAGATAAATTACCAGCAAGGCACGGGAACTTCTTTACATTTTTTTCTTTTGTTGTTGTTTTGCTCACAAACAACAAGACTTCAACCCCTTACAATAAGCTCAATTGACGAAATTGTGATGTTTGGGATTTGATTTAGTGGGAGCTAGTTGGTCTTATGAATATACTCTCCAAAAATAAGCTTATTAAAAGAAGCACATGAGAGACAAGCAAAACATAAGTACTGCACAAATACAAAAACCCAGAATTTATGATCAACAAAAATTGCACCAATTAGCTTGTCTACAAATAATGATAGAAACAAAAATAATAGCCGAACATCAAAGATGAATAAGAATAGTAGAAGCAGAATCCAACCTCCAACAATAATAAGAGTAGATTCATAGCCTCAAGAGCCTGCTTAAAAGAAAAAGATGATTTATGCAACTTGCACATAGATGGCCAGTAGGGATGAATGAACCCCAGTAACTGCTAATGCATTAAACACTTTTGACATATGATATAGCCATGAAGAGAAGAAACTTTAACATCAAGGGTGTTCATGACCTCATGACAGATTTTCATTAGTAAACACCCTTTTCTTCACATTGGTGAACTTTAATTTGTGGTTCTGGAACCATAACCCCCCCCCCCCAATTTTCTGAACACTGAACCCAAGTATTCTTGACCAGATAAACAATCTTCACTGAGCTAAACATGATATCATTATTCCTCTATTATGATATCTTTCCATTTTTCACAACTTTGGATGGGCTACAATTGACTTCAACCCAATATAACCCAGCCTAACTTTCACCCCTACTTGTGCACCATTGTTCATATGTAAACAATTTTGACTATATATGGTCCTTTTTGTTTTATTCACATTTATCAATAAAAGGGCATTTTTGCCATTCATATTTCCAACTTTTAATTTCATATTAATAGCCCATAGTTTCTTTGTTAAGCAAATATATTCCTAGGTATGTTAGAAATTTTGAGATATGCTTTCACCTAATACAAATATCCTAAAATGGTTCCTAGCCATAGGACTATCAAGAGGGCTTCGATAGTCCGGAAAGACCGGCACATTATGCTTGCCTTACAGGGTGATGACTCTCAAGTCACTTGTGTAGAGACACTAAAGCAATATGTGGGTGCTTGTTAGACAACAGATTCACTGAACATGACACATAACAGAATAGTTACATGGGGTCACTAGTTAATAACTGTTTCTAACATTCCACTCATACAAATAATCCCCAGATCCGAGGCATAATGGATATCTTGTGTATGGGGCAAGGTTTTAAATATCGATACAATTTGATAGCCGATTGGGGCATATCAGCTTGTATCGTTGGGTTATGTTTTTTTTTATTTTCTTTTAAACCAGTTCAACGAGTCGGTTTAAGGCTCATCTACCCCTGAACCAGGTCAGACCCCGAAGCAACTGTTGTAGGGGCATATCAGGGGATCACTGATGCAATACGTATTGGCTGATACGCCCTGATACGTTACAAACTTTTAATCCTTGGTATGGGGCATTATAGTTTGATGGTGCAAATACTTATGCCCTTACCAAGGGATTTAAGCATGCACATATCAGTTGTAATGCATGGAGGTATGTGAATGCATAACATGAAATCTATCACTCTCCATGAGGAGAGAATGTCTTGCGGCTGAAGTTGATAAAACTTAGGAGATCCTTGGCCCAATGTTTTAAAAGTGCAAGACGCAAAAAAAAAGGCAAAAAATTCAAAAAAAATGCAAAATATTAAAAATACTAGACACAATTATATAAACTTAAATTTTAAAATAAATGTTTTAAAAAATCCTATTATTTCAAATTAAAACACATAAACATAACATGTAAAACATATTTAAAATGAAAACTTAAAAACAAAATCAAACAAACCATATAAAACATATTCAAGCACGTAAACTCTTAACCTCTTTATTTTTTTCCCAATTGCATTACTTAAATGGCTAATGTGATGTTAAGCATTATGCATTCCTGATTCTACAAGCTGCCTTCGAACCAAGCCCTAGAGGGAGTGAGATGTGAATCAGTCCTCTAAAACTGATATAGACTTGGTAAAAATTAGAGTGAAAAGAAGAAGAAAAGTAGAGAACAGCAGAACAAAGGAAGAAGATGGAGAAAAGAAGAGGAAGAAGAAGAAGAGTTCAAATATCTCTTCCCTCCCTTCTCTAATCCTTTTGTTAAACTTCAATCGTTAGGTTAATTACAAATATGCCCTTAAGTGGGCGGCCAGCTAGGCAGTCACATAAAGAGAACTTACAAAAAGAAATAACAGGCCCATAAAGATAGGCCCATTAGCTAACAAATAAATAAATAACATACTACAAGAAAAGATACTAGGGCCCATTCGGCCCAGTCTCTCTACAAGAAGTTAATTAATGAGTTAGGGGCAGTTTCGTTCATAGTCAGAATCAGAATTGGAATCAGATTGGAATCTGAATGGTCTATTCCTCCCACCTGTTTGCTTCAGATGGGAATTGAAATCGGAATCAGAATCAGTTAGAATGGATTCTCATACCCAAGGGAGGGGAGAGAGAATGGCCATTCCCTCAAACGGGGGAATGCCATTTAGGGATGAAACTTGGACAGGCCCAACCCAAGCCCAAACCGACCCGGCCTAAAATTTTACATGGGTTGGGCTTGGACCTAGCCCTTGGGTAGCACAAGCCCAGCCTGACCTTGTCCCAACCTGAGGGCCAAACCCGACCTGACTATACGCGTTCATACATGCATATATAAAATTATAGATGTGTATTTACATATATACATACATGTGTAATTTTAGAGTGGGTTCACTAACCAACCTGAGTGCATCAAATTACAATGTGGGTTGGGAAGATCAGGCATGACCTCAGGCTCAGGCCTTAGGCCCAAATCTTACGGTTGGGCCTGAGTTGACCATAAACTCAACCCAGCCCGTCTGACTTGCACCCCTAATGCCATTCCACCAGGAATGGCAATAGGATTCCGATTTTGCCCAACCAAACGGTTGGATTCCAATTTCAATTCTAGACCCCTATTCCTGCAAACCAAATAGAAATAGACCCTTAATTTTAGAAGTTGGTGAGAGAGAACAATGGCATGTCAATCACATAAAGCCAATTTTGAATTTGAATAAATAAGTTAATAAGAGCTAATGACATGAAATAAGGTACAAAAGTTCATACAAATAAAATAATAAAGCATTGTCTGACACTCATAGTATTGGTCTGTATTGAATCTGTATCAACTGATGCAGACTGATGTTGAGAACATATCAGCCAATACTGTGGATACGAGTAAAATGGAGTGGAGTTTTGGCCATTCTACCCATGCCCTGTGCCAGTAACCTCAAAAACCAATACATTTCAACCTATACATATAGATAGTTTGAACTTTGCTTTACAACGTTTCCCTCATTCAGATCCCAATTTACAGTGAAATTCATGGATGAGGAAGATAGGGAAGGAAGCAAGCAAAATCAAGCTTAGTCTTAGAGCAAGGATTTGAATCCATCCATCATCTAGTGCCACTACTTCTTGGCAGCTTATATACGGTTAAATGGTTCATCAAATGCCTAAAGAATAATGATGGTAGGATAACATAAAGGATATGATAGCAGGTTGAGGGAAACACATTATCGAGTTATATCTTTAGGACCTGTTAGCATGGAATGGTGCAAACCTGATGAGACTGATTGTCAGAACTCAAGCTTGTATCTGAAAGTAAGACCTTAGAAGAGAATGGAGATTACAAACTACAATGATAGATAGCTGCTAGCCAGCACACTAGAGACATTGTCTATGCTCCAGAGTAGCCTATGGAGCAGAAAGGTCAACAGTGAACTCCCATATGGGCCCACCAGTGGCAAAGCTATCTGAGGTGACTTATGGAATCACACACAAGTAAGGAAGTATAGAAACAACATATAACTGACAAACGGAAATGATGCTGATCTTACAAGAGAGGATGGACGGATAACAACTTTACACCTGCAGCAAAAGTGATCTGACCAAACATCATGAAAGATGAAACTCAAGCATATGGTGAAAAGAATGAGTAAAAGAGGAAGGTCCTGCCAGAGTGAAAACAGAACCTTCAAAGAATGGTGTATCTATGCATATAAACATGGGGGTCCATGCAGTGGCATCCATTAGGTCGAACATATCTAGACACACTTAGGCGGGTGAAGCTCAAAGCATTTAGGGAAGTATCTTCAACAGTTGGGACAAACCCAAACACCTTACCATGGAGTTCAATAGTTCCATCCATAATAGCACTTGTGCTGTGGACAGCATCTATGAGAAAATGTCTTGTAATGGATCAACTGGTAAGAACAAGAATAACCAGACAGTACTCCCTATTTGTGTGCCTGTCTGAGAGAATAACCTATTACTCATTTTTAACATCTATGCAGTTAAATGCTGTTCCTTGGCTCAATCATGTTGTTAGCAATTTAAAAGAGTTAGAATACCTGGATACCTGTTTGAATACTTCAAACTTTAGTGAAAATTCTGTATTTGACACCCTGTCCAACTCTGCCCTTGCCATAACCCAGAAACATAGTTAAGAACTAATCAGAATAGGATATCATGTTGAGCACATTCTTACATGCAGAGCTGTTGACATGGGTAAGAGAAATGCACAACTGTTTTTGGCAATATGGATGACTTACAAGCAGTGCTCTGAGGGCTTAAAATGGCAAGGGAGGCAGATTACAGAATTTGATAATTGAAGGGGATTCAGGTGATTATAACTTGTAAACTGCCTGAAAGAAGATATGGTAGGCCCATGACAATATAGACATCAGATTAAGACCTTTTTCATTGATGAGCTAACATATTCATTTAAAAAAAATGGAAAAAAAAAAAACAAGATCCCTGATCTGTCCAAAAAGACAGTAGGAACAAATACAACAAAAACAGATTACCAGCTGACATAAAACAAATATTTGGTTTATACCAATCCGGGATCTGAAGTATGGAAAATTTGCCATACAAATGGCAAATTTGTACATTATATGTCTTTCTGGTATAAATAGCTTAATACAATACTTGTTCTTTACCTTTTGAAAACGGGGTTCAAGTGTAGAAAATAAGCAGACTACAGGTAAGCTTACAACATTAAGCAAATATATCAGATAAACAAATTCGTTTTTGTGCCAGGGAGATCAATCACAAAAGCTATCTTTTTATTGAGATCAAGGTTCAAAATATCGATACACATTTTGGTCCTTTTTTTTTTCGCAACCGGTTCGGGAGGGGGGGGGGCAGTTTAGGTCTCCTCTACCCCCTGAACCAGTCAGACGTCCGATACACCCACTGTAGGGGCGTATCGGAGGGGTCCCGGAACGATACGTGTCGATACTTTGAACCTTGATTGAGATGATTGATATAAAAGTTTAAGGAGAAGAAGAGAGATATTGAAATGATGTTAAAAAAAGAATATGCCACAGTTCCCATAAAGAAAATATGATGGGTTTTAGTACAGAAAAGAATACCAACAAGGTATGTGGACCTAATTATGGACATACATGAGAGTGCAACAACCAATGTTGGAACCCACGGGAAAGAAATCAAAGTTTCCAGTTATGTTGGGACCCCACCAAGGTTCAGCACTAGCCCTTGTGTATTTACACTATGGATAAATTGACTAAACATACTGATGAGGAGGTCGTGTATGTTGTTTGCTAATGAGTAATGACACGGTATTAATTGATAAAACTAGAGGGATTAAATGCGATGTTGGATTTATGGATAATTTCCTTAGAAACAAATGGTTTTAAAATAACCAGAACAGAAGCAGAATATATGCAGTATGGCTTAAATAATAGAGTATAAATTAGGGTAAACTTAATTGGAGACTAAGAGATATCTCTTTTGATCAGCGAAACTAAGAGATATCTTTTGCCTTAGTGGTGATTCCTCATCAGTGGCAAAGCATCGGCCAAAATAAACCTTGCATGTTTCATTCATCCAATCTTAAAAGAAGTGTGTAGTTTGTTAAAAATAAATAAATAAGCTTACTACAATAATCCTGATGCTAGATAGCACTTATATAAGAATGACAATCATGGGGAAAATGAAGAAGGTAAGTGGAGAGCTAGAACAAACATAAACAGAGTAAAGCTTACCAGCATGGTTGAGATTTTTTAATCTGTTGCACACTTGCAGGCCAATTTCTCCCGAGCGGCTCTTGCGTTGTCATACTCAAACTTCAACACATCTGGTATGTGTGAAGAATCCTTGATATAAAGCATCCTCCCAATTGTACTCTCTTCAATTGCCGGAAAATAGCATATAAGCATAGAATTGACAACCCAAAACCACAAGGCCCCCAGAGCAATACCAAGCGTGGCACCGGCAAAGACCTGTGCGACAGTGTGGTACCCCAAGTAAACCCTAGAATACATAGTGAGTAAGGCCACAGACCAAGGTATAAACCCCACAGTGAACTTCTTCCTCACGCCGGCGAGCCCAATTCCTTTGTACATGAGAAGAGTGTAGTAGACTGCGAAGAAGAACATGTACTGAGAGTGACTGGAGGGCCAGCCGTGGGAATCGCACATCTCGAGTAGCATGCATGTCTCGGGCCGAGACTGCTGAACCGATTTTTTAATGACTTCGTTGATAAACTGAGATATGAGGAGGCCAAGGGCAAAGAAAATGCCCTGAAGCTCTCGACGAAAAACAAAATGAGAAATGAAACCACCAAGGCTGATGAAGACAGGGATCAAAGAAACCCATGCAAGGAAGTGACCCAATCGGTCGCCCTTTTGGTAGCGAACGTGTGTGAGAGTCACAGCTTTGAGTAGAGGAGTTGTCATACTGCCGGATCTCTGATCATAAAAAAGATGGACCTGGTTTCCGGTGTCCTTTCAGAATGCAGAGAAATTCACTCGGTTGTCGCATAAAGGAAGCGTGGCGTGTCTCTCTGTTCGCAAAGAGGGTAAATTACAGATTGTCACCCTGCACTTCAGAGGTAGTGACACAGCCCTCCCCTCCGAACTCATTCTTTGCGTAAAAAGACCTATCGTTAACTTGTTCCGATACTCTGCACCTCTGTCTTAACGGTTTTGACGACAAAGAGAAATTTACTAACATATCTGATATCTGATGATGCTCAATCCGGCCGGTCTTACCTGTCAACGACCTTGCCTCTGAGCTGAGTAGCGGGGAACCTGAAACGGAGGGGATGAGGAAGCTCCGGGGAGAACCCGGTGTAAAGGCTCCGAAGCTTAAGTTAGAATCCTTCAAAGGCAAGAYAAAACCAGATAGCGCAAAGTTTGCATACCTCCTCTTTGGGGGAGTGGAGAGCCTTTTATAACCACCTCGCGCACTTACTCCTAGACTTCTGTCAGGTCGGAAATGATTACTTCCGTGCTTCTGCCAGTTCGGGCGTCGTTGCCTCTGTTGGGGCAGAACCGTCACTCCTCTTTTTGTCGGAGCCGTCTTTGTAATTAGAGATGGCGATGGCAGGTGACGGTGGCAGGTGGCCGTTGAAGTGCGGCCGTCAAGCGTCAGATCCCAAGTCAGTCAGGTGCGCCGCCCCTGGATACGGACTCCTTCGTTGTCAGGCACGGTGTGGTTCGTCCAGTTCAATGCTCTGGAGGTGAAGTGCCTGGAGCGGTGCGCGAGGCGAAGTCTTGAATTCGGATAGGGGGGTGTCCCGAACTGTCATGAGACGGGCCAGTTCGGGTTTCTGCTTTGTCTGACGGGGCCAAAAGGAGAGTTCAGGCTTCCCGTAGGGAGTTCGAGCTCTAAGTAGGGAGTTCGGGCTCTAAGTAGGGAGTTCAGGCTCCTCGTAGGGAGTTCGAGCTCTAAGTAGGGAGCTCGGGCCCCTTGTAGGGAGTTCGGGCTCCTCTTAGGGAGTCGCTCCTCGAGGGGAGTTCGGGCTCCTCTTTTAGGGAGTTCGGACCGCTGGTCTCTCCCCTTTGGTGTTTTGTACCCTCGGTACGTTGTTTTAAGTGCCAAACTACTTGTTTTTTGCCACATGGCGCGATTTGCTTGGTCGGGCCAAATCTTCCTTCATCAATTGCCCCCCACTCCTCGTGCTAAGGGTCTTGCCCTGGCGCGAGGAGTTTGCAAGGTGTCAGGTAGATTTGCCCTGCACTTTGAATCTTGGTTCTGCCGGCGCGAGGTGCGTTGTCAAGGCTCCTTGGGATTCTTCAAGCGTCCATTAGGCGGGAAACGCGCCGGCCTGCCTAAACGCTGATAGATGTGGTGGCGCGTGCTTTATTTCGAATTTTCAAAAAAGCGCACCACTTGGGGGGCGCAATAGCGAGCGTCTTTTCAAATTTGAAAAAGACGTGCCGCTGCCATTTTTACTGAAGAGACGTGTGCTGGCATTCCGTCAGTTTCGAAAGATGTGCGTCGGCGCTCTGTCAGTTTCAGAAAGACGTGCACCAATCACGTCTCGGTCTCGGGGGACGTGCGGTCAGTGCAGTTGTGGGCCATCGGATTGGCTTTGATCTAAGTCGTTGCCTTTCGGTCACTGTGGGTATAAATAGCGGGGGGGACCCCAGTTGTTGTCACTTCAGTATTTCTCTCGAGCTCGCGTCTGAGTTTCTGATCGCATCCAGTTCGCGTTCAGGTTTTTTTCAGTTTGCCCTCAAGGTCTTCCGCTCGTCCGAGCTTCTGTGGTCTACTGCCTTTGTCCGGGTGAGTACTTTCCTGGATCCCATCTTACTCCCCGATGTCTGGCTGGGATGGCTCAGATAGTCTTTTCAACGGGTCTGATGCAGGTTCTACGAACCGAGTTGCATCCCCCGATAGCCCTAGCGAGCCGGAGGTAGAGCTCGAGGAAGAGTTCGAGCTCATAGGCCGAGGCGCTTTGGGTAGTTTGGCGTCCACCTCTCGTYGGGGTCAGATGTTAGACAAGTTCGGTCCTTCGACCATGACGCCCGAGGGGCTCCAATCCCTCATTTCCTACTATAACTTGCCCGGGGAGTACGCTTATTTCATACCTTCGGGTAGCTTTCCTTGGGAACACGGTCCTGATGAGATCACGATATTCCGGGAGCAGCTCGCCGCAGGGCTGCGATTGCCTTTCCATCCCCTCTTTGTCGAAGTCTTGAACCACTTCGGCGTGATGGTCGGCCAGCTTCACTCGAATTCCATTCGAAACTTGGTGGGGACAATCTCCTTATTTTGCGAAGAGAGCTTTCCGTTGGACTTGGAGATTTTTTCTTCAATCTTGATGCTTAAGAAGCAAGCAAGTTCCCTCCCCGGGCGTAGGCGGGCTTACTACCTGTCTCCTCGCCCGGGTTTTAAGCTTTTACATGAGCTCCCCAACAAGGTGCCAGCATGGAAGCGGGACTATTTCGGGGTGCGAAGTGTGCTGGGGTGGCCGTTTCAAACCGGGTGGGGAATGGCTGCTCCTGACTCCGGGGTCACGCTTGACAAAGAGACGGCGAAGGGCCTCCGGCAATGGAAGCGGCTTGGGCTGAAGTGTCAACAGTATCTGAYGGAGGCCAAGCTCATTGCGGTCGGCCTGAGTTCGGATAGGTTCTTCACTTAGAGATTCTTATCTTGCTGTCTTTCTTGCTTTTACTGATGGCGAACTTCTTTTCGCAGGTGCGATGGATTCTCGGGGGACCCGGGGTGGGCACTTGTTTCAAGGCATGAAGAGGAGAAAGCGGGTTGCCAAGCGAACTCGTGCCGAGATGCCCCGGGATGCGGAGCCCGAGGTGCCGGACTATCAGCCAGAAGATCTGCCCAGGGAGCCCAAGATGGT